AGGCACACAGGGCATTTTATTGTTTTTTAGTCTGAATAAATCCCTATAGGCCCCTCCCTATAGGTCAACTAAGTACTGCTTAACTCAGTGGCCTGCCTGCTCCTCACTGCTGCTCACCTGGCTGTGGTTACAGTGGGGCACTTCCCTCTCAGACCTTTGTAGGAAGGCTGCTGCTGCTGTCAGCCCTGCGGGGAAGGTCTTTCTCCTGAAGCTAATCCTTCCAGGAAGATACTCTTGCTCAGAGACACCGTTGTCATTCCCAGTACCCGTTGGCACCTAAGATTAACCAGGTCTGGATGTGCAACAATGCTAGTGTTTAAACCTCTGGGTTCTATTTCCCCTCTCTTTAACTCCTGCACAGTACAACTGTCAATACACATGAAAGAAGGGAGCCAGGTTTAGCCAGGAAGGTGCTTCCTCAGCAAGTGCATTTATTCTCATTTGTTGAGTTTTTATACAGATGTCATTTGATTTACAAAGCAAAAATTTTAAGTACCCCCCCCCCCCCCCCCACACACACATTTTTGGTGTTTTTAGGAAAACTTTTTAGGGTTTTGTTAATTTTATGTTTGGGTGTTCTACCTGCATTTGTGTACACTGTGTGTGCCTGCAGGGACCAGGAAAAAAAAAAATCAGATCCTGTCTCTGACTGGAGTTTTAGATGGTTGTAAGCTTCAATGTGGGCACTGGGAATTGAACCAGGAGAAGTCATGCTCTCTCTTAACTGCTGAGCCACCTCTCCAGCTTGTTTTTAGATTGGAAACAACAAGCTTTTAAACATTTGCAACAGGGACAAGGGTCCAGAGTCTGGGCCTAGGTTTACTTGGGAGGTGCTAAGCAGCCTGGGCACCATCAGGCTGCTTTGCTCCACTGGCTCCTCCATCACTCTGGCCCTCCCTCCTACGTACATCACCATCACCTCAGGAGTCCAGCAGAGTTAGTACAACTCTAATACCCATGGACATGACTAGAAAGCTGCAGTCTTCAGCATTGATTCTGAGTGAAACACTATGTAGTTTCATTCCCTGTCCACTTGTGCTCCTTATGAAATGGGCCTCAGATGCTTCAAAGGTTCTGAACTGCAGTAGACAGCACAATGTTTTGCGGAAGGTTGAGGATCATAGGAATCTGCAGTGTCCGAGGCTCCTAAAACACACAGCTCTCGGCCTGTTAACAGAGGACTTGCCAAAGTGGAGGTGGAGAGCCAATGGAGCTGAGGAGGCTAAAACCCAACCTTAAGGCGCTCTCTGACAAAGTGCAGCGTACTCAACAGGAAACTGCTCAACACTGAAAAAACATGTTAAAAAAAAGTGCCAAATTAAGAGACCATATACTGTTTGAGTCCATTGACATGAAATGTCCAGAAGAGGTGTATTATCCACACCAGGGCCTGGGGACCAGCGTATGAAAGCTTACTGGGAGAAGTGAATATGGTGGTTGCTCCAGCACTAAAAGTTCCTAAACTCAGTGACTTGGACACAACCCAGTGAGTTCCTGATTTGTATGATAGGCATCACTAGTGAACTACCCCAGCTCAAAGCTGTTTTAGGGGTCTTGTTTCCACTTTTCAAGCACTAGTTTATTAACTTTTATAGACAGTCTCATGTAGACCCGGGTAGTCTGAACTTGCCTCAAACTAGAGATTTACCTGCCTCTTTCCAAGTCCTGGGATTAAAGATGAGTACCACTCACAACCTGCTGTTAAATATTTTTGAAGGTTCACAATTGGCAGGACAAAATTCTCTTTTTATATGTTGATAGAGTGAAACATGATACCGCTTTACAGGAAAGACATTTTACAGTCAAGGGATGTAGTTTAGTGTTGGAACACTTCCCCAGCCATGCACGAAATCTTCCACTTTACCCTTGCACCAAAAAACAATTTAGTAACAGTACAATATTAAGATATTTAGGACAGCCAGGTGGTCCACACCTATAATCTTAGCACTGGAGAGGCTGAGGCAGGAGGACCAGAGGTTCAAGTCTAGTCTGGACCACAGAGCAAGATTATAATTCAAAATGCTTTTAGTATCCCAGGGGTAAGGAGAGCCTCAGTAACAGGATGCTGCCTAGCTGTGAGGTCCTGAGTTTGACCTTAAGAACCAAAAAGAAAAAAAATCTTTATAGTATTAAGTAACCTAGAATTTTTATTGTTTATTCATTTTAAAGAAAAGGTATAAGGTAAATTTGGGAGGAAAGCTCATCAAATCTTCCATTTAAATTATACTTTTAGCAACAAAAATGTAGGAAGGTTTTTACATTAAAAAAAAAAAAAGCATATCTGTCCTTTGGTCCTTTCAATTTCCTCCTTGTTCCCCAAGAACAGGAGAAGTGTGGCTCCTAAGCTTGACATCTTGAAGAGAGCAGTGTGTCTTATGTTCTAGTCCCAACTCCCAGGAAATGGAAATTTCTGGGGTCCAGCAGTGTGTTGGATGATGACGGCAGGGTAGTATGCAGTCTAATGTTTGCCTGGGCAGATTCCTTCTCTGTTCCCATCACCACCACCAGCTTCTTGTGGGAGACTAAACATAGGAAAAAGAGTCCCACCTCCTTCCAGATTGTGAAGTCTAGAAGATGTCTAAGTCTGGTGACTTCGGAGGCGCTCACATCCACTGCACTGAGCCATCCTAGGGGGCAACGAGTCTCATGGCAATTGTGAATGAACAGGTCACTCAGGGTCTGTTTCACACACCAGCATCCTTTCTACTCTTCCTATTTGACAAAACTAGTGCCTCCCATTCCTGTTCTCCCAGATGAGTGGCTGGGATAAGCTTTTCCAAGAAGTGGGTACTTCCAACTTCTAGTCAAATTTGTCAGACCTGTAAGTTCCTATCCTTGACATTCTATAAACCTAGACTAATAGCATGCAATACCAATACTCTTACTGCAGAGGCCTGTCCCCTCTAGCAACAGGACACAAACTCAGGAAGCCAGCCAGTCACATGCTCATCTACCATATCCCCAATCAAGAGGTTCACTCTGGCTGCCCCACTTTCCTGGCTCATTGAAGGTGCCAGCTGGCAGAGCTCTTTACTTGCATCTTAGTCTCTCTAAAGTCAAAATAAACCCTTGACATAATAATATGGAAAATGCCTAATAGTTCACTAAAAACATTTATTTTAAAGCCATGGTTAGCCTTACACTCTTAGTGAAGCAATCATAGTTCTTGTGACTTTGGAAAAACGAATGCTACCAAGACCTAGTCTCTCATAGGTTGGGAATGCAGCTTGGTGTAGTGCTTGCATAGCACATGTGAAATCCTGGGTTCAATAAAAAAAAAAAATCAATCTTTAGACTATATTCTAGTTTGCTTATATGATAACCTAAAGTCAGGTACACTATAGACAAAAACTAGCCCCAGACCCTTAGATACAGTACCTAGGTTTTGCCTACCTCTACAATATCTTATGCAGTCCCTTATCCCTCCCCCAACAAAAGAAAAAAGTTATAGAGTCAAATAATCACAATTAGAACTTAGTCACTAATAAAAGAAGACTGGGGCCAGCCAGACCAGCAACTATGAAGTACATTTTCTATTGCTGTATAGATTCCCAAGGGGGGAACCTACAAAACCCCCAAAGTCTTCTGCTAAGTTGGCAAACTAAGGCTGAGCCTGTAGTCTGGGGCACAATTATGCTACGTCACAACATTGGATGAAAGAAGAGTTGGGCCATAGGAATAAGTCATTCCACATATACTAAGCTCAGCCTCATTGGCTGTACCCCAAGCCTGGAGTCAGCATGCTGCCTCTGAGGTAGACCCAACATACCAGCACTTGTTTCCAGGCATACACAACAGCATTCTAGAAGTATTAACCAAATGCACCCTTAACAAAAGAACAGAGACTGACATCCAAGTAAAAAGAACCAGCAAAGTAGGAAGGAAGGTAGGCCTTTTAGACCACAACTAGCAGCTTGGCTTCCAAAGGGTAAAACTTTAGGATAGAACATAACCTCTTCAGGCTTACACAGGCTTCCTAGCCAGGTACTCAGAGGAGGATGTACTATATGCAGATAGAGATTCTCAAGAATCTTCCTGCAATCCTGATGCATTCTGAACTCCAAAAGCCTTGAGGAGACTGTGGCAGAATCTTTTTTATGCCCCAACCTTACCCTTCTTCTCCTTATTAGAAGAGGAAAGCCAAGCTAAAAGCTGGAGCAGGAATAAAGTCTTCCTAGAGGACTAGGAGTTCCTAGTCTGTTGAGGGAGAGGCTTTGGGAGTCAATGTGTGTCTGGCCATACAAGTTCCCTGAGCTAGTCACTATCATGTGGCCTACGGAGAAGGCCACTGTCACAAGATGCCATCCTATGAGACTTTAATAGGAAAAACAGGGAAGTTTGTGTATAACTGCTGGGGCTGTCTACAAGTCAACAAGGGAGGGTTGAGAACAGCTCAAGGGTAGGACTAACCTAGCACAAATGAGACCCTGGGTTCTATTCCTGGTACCAAGACAAAATGGAAAGCTGGAAAACCAGCTCATGAAAAAGGGAAATGTTTCAACTTTTCAGACCCCAGTCCTTTCCTCCCAATCTCTGCCCACATCCACATGCTAAGCTGACAGACTGGAAGCTACATGATCCTTCCAGAGCTAACGCACAGCACAGTGACAGTCACACACAAGCCACAGCAGTCTCAGGCCTCTCCAAATCCCTTGTCCTGGGAGTATGAACAGGAGAGGACGCTTGTCCTTTCCTCCTCAACATTACCACCTTCGCCTCTACTCACAGCAGCAGCTCCCAGTGGAATTCAGTTCGACAGAAGATCAACCAAACCCTAGTGAGTTACAGGTAGAACTAAGGGTGCACCTAGCTAGGCCCATGAGGAAATGAAAAATGTTAGTTTGTGGGAGCATTAATACCCATTAACAGCTCCAAGGAGCTCTGTTGTGTTCTCGGGCAGGACTCCTCAGTAGCTTAGTTTCTGGGAATCACTCTGTAAGGCAGGAGAAGCACCCAAACTGAGCTGAGCAGCATGCTAGTATTTAGAAAAATGTATTTCCTTGAAAAAAAAATACAGAAATCTTTGAGGGAATTAAGACACTGTAAGAGTCAGATATTGATGGGACTAAGGAAAACAAAACCAAAACTGTCCAAGAAGACTCAAGATGCAACTAGCCCAACAAAAGGTCCGTCTCAGACTTTGGCTAATAGTGTCTTTTAGAGCTGTGAGGGAAAGTGGCCAGGAGTAGCCCGCATGAGAATCATGAAGGCAAAGCAACTCTATGTGACTTTTACCTGTAAACAATGAGCGACAGCAGCTACACACCTATGCTCAACACCAGGCCAGCAGCAACTAAATGACAGCCACCATCAAGCCCTGCTCTTCTGATGTACAACTTGCAACCATCCAGTTACATTCACCTAAGAACTTTCCAATCTATGTTTTCTTTAGTAGAGCAGAGCCCAGGCCAGGAGACAAGGGCTCTATCTGCCACTTAGTTCACCTCTTCATGGAAATGTCAGGGGTGAGGAAGCTGAGTGTTGCGACTGGTTTATATCTCCTGTTCTATTTTTCCCTCTTACCACTCAGCTGTAAATTCCTTACGCTCTCCAAATGCCCTGCTCCTGGTAGATACACAGCAGGGAAGATAGTTCTTAAATACTGCTTTCCTTGGTCAGCTTACTTTGCTTGAATGCAGACAGAACATTTCTAACGAGGGAAAAAACAACTGCAGTTCCTTAACTCCAAAGAGCTCTTCAAAAAATAAAATAAAATGGGAAACTGCTCTGAACAAGTCAGCAGAACAGAAGAGCCATGCTCAGAGGGCTTGGAGAGTAGTACCTCGCACATTCGTTACTCAGTCACAGTATCCAGTTAAACCACCTTCCCAACCCAACCCGCCCTGGCTGCACACCCTTGCCACCCCCCTTCAGCTCTGCCTTTTTGTGCATTGCTGGCCCCAGGTACGGGGACAAAACAAGTCCTTCTGGAAGCTTCCAACAGCTCAGTACTTCACTCCTGGAATAAACTCCTTGGCATCTGGATTCAGGTTACTTTTGCTCTGAAATGAGAATCAAGAGAAAATATAACTCAAAGCAAGCTGTACTTTTATTACTTTTTTCATGCTAAAAAAATTAATTTAGCATACTAAATAATGAGTTTCACTATAGCATTTTATACATGTGCATTCCACTGACTCTGCTGATACCTACCTCTTATCCCTCCCTATACTGACGGTCATCTTTCTGCTTTCACATCCTATTACACTTTAAAACTTATTTTCGGGCTAGGGATGAAGCTTATTGATTGAGTACTTGCCTAGCATGTACAAGGTTCAACTCTCTAGCCCTACAGAGAGATAAAAGTACAGGGAAGACTGGGAGAAAGATAACAAAAATCATTAAAACTTGTTTTTGAGTTCTGATACATGCTAAGCAAGTGTTCCACAACTGAGCCACACCACAGTACCCTTCTTGGTAAGCCTCAGGGAAGAAGGAAGAGTCTTAACAGCCCATGCTATCGCTGAATTGTTCTCAGAGGCTCCTGCCTCCTGTTTCCACTCCATTTCAAGATATTCCCCTGAATCTATGAATGACATTCATTCCAAAACAGCACTTCAAGCCACTGAACAGATTAACATGGTGAAAAACAATATTCCATGAAGCCAGTTTAGATACTAGAACCTCTATTTTTCTCATTTTCTCATGCCCCTTGGTGTTCTTCTGAGTCTTGGCTCATTGCAAGCCACAGCTACTCACAAGCTATGTGGGAACCACAGTGCTCGCAGAATCCAGCCACATCAATAGAAGACAAGGAACTCACTTCTCTGACTTAACTGAAGTACAAACTGGCCTGTCAGGAGTGTGTTCCTCCTAATAGCAATAGTTTTCCTGGCAGAGCCATAGTACATTAGGTACAGATAGTGAAAGAGAAAGACTTCTTATCCCAGGGCAGAGAGCATCAGGGTAAATGAAGGCTGATGACTACAGTTTCACAGAACCTGAAGCCATTTAAGGGGTGAAGACATGTCAGCTGATAGGCTCCAGAGATGTGATGTAGGGTGTAGGGCCACACAGACATCTATGACTCCAAATATCATATTCCTTTCAGGATGTCACATGTAGAACTACTGAAGGCTCTTACCAAAATGTCCTCAGATTCATGACTGTCGCTGACTGATAGTCCATTTAACTGCTGCTGTAAGTGTCCCACAGCCTGAGGCAAGTCTCGTGCTGGAATGAACCAGTCCTGGTCCTCTTCATCCAGCATCTCCTGGAAGCAGCGGTCCAAGAAGTCTTGCTCCTGCAGCTCTTCTTCCACCTACCAACAAAGGGGTAAGACTAAGAGGAACTATTACAAGAGGATGATCCCGCTGGGGTTCCCAGCACTTCTCTTCAGAGGTCCTCATTCAGAACCATGGCAGGAAAGCTAATGAGAAATGTTCCCAATTGGTTCATGTTTATAAATATTTGGTCCCTAGTTGGTGATGCTGTTCAGGGACATCACAGAACCTTTATGAGGACGAGTCCTGAGGAAGAAAGTATGTCAGTGGGGGCAGGCTTTGAGATTTACGAATGTAGTCCATTTTATTTTTATTTTTTTCTCTCTGCTTCCAATTTGAGATAACATATGCTCAGCCAGCTTCGTTTCTACTGTCAAAGCTTGTCCGTTGTTCAACCCAGCCATGACGGACTGACTCTATCTCCCTAGAACTGTGAGCTGAAATAAACCCTTTCCTCCATGAAATTGCTTTTGGTCATGGAATCTTACCACAGCAACAGAGAAGTAACTGATCTGATAACCATAAAAAAATAAAAACAAAATGGCAGAAACTTCAGGTCTTCATAAATCTTTTATGGGAAGTGTGTAACTGGCCTGAGATTAGGATACTGAAAACTAAATTAAAATCAGTATTAGCTCTTGATCCACTTTTCTAGTAATAAGAACTCCAAGGCAGAAAAATACTTGTAGAACCTTAGAGAGATACAGAAAACACTTTCTGGTACATTATTAAAAATATACGTCACAATTCGGTGTCTCTTAAAACAAGAACAAAATATTTAAACTACTCCATACTTCCTCAACACTGTCACCAACTGATGTAAAAAGATCTAGGATTTTCCAGTCCTTTGCAGAAAATGTTTACTTGGCAGATTTCAGTGAATTCATTGGCCACTCCACACTTGCCAAATCTCTTTCTCACCTCTTGCTGGGTAACAGGTTCATAGCTCATTACCTCTATAAGCTAAATCAAACAACAACAACAAAAATCACTCAACTGTGCCTCATATATTCAGAAAAAGTTATTAATAGCAAGTTTTTGACTGTTTCTGTTGTTTTTAGACAGTTTCACATATCCCAGGCTGGCCTTGAACTCTCCATGTAGCTGAGGCTGGTCTTGAATTTCTGGTCCTCCTGCCTGTTCCTCCCAAGTGCTGGAATCACAGTCATGTTCCATTATCCAGCTAAAGAAGAGTATCTTAAATGTGTAATTGCCTAAACATTTTAAAATCTCATAAATTATACAGTTATGAAGCTCTTAAGTAACTACAAAGTATTTCTAAGCCATTAAGATTTTATAGTTTTGTGTTTGAAATGTTTGGCATTTATTTTCTCTGTCCAGTCTCTACTTCTCTCTCTGTGACAGGGCTGGACTAACTCAGTATGTATACAGCTCAGGCTAGTTGTGAACTCACATCAATCCTCTGCCTCAGTCTACCAAGTCTTAGGATCACAGGTATAAGCCACTATACTCCTGCTCTCCATTCTTACATATTCCCTTGTTCAAGAATTTTACTATAGCTGCTTCTTTTAGGACTTTGCCATGTGATCTATTTCTTTTATTATAGCAGTATTCTTTGTGTAATAGTTGGGAAATTAGCACTAAGAACATAAAAGAAAAAAGAAAACAAACAAACAAACAAAAGATCCCAAGTCTCAACTCTGAGGCATGAATAAGTATTGTGCCTGTTCTGACTTTAGCTATTAGACACCCATGGGGAAATGATAGGAACTTACAGAAAAAGAAAAACAAAAAACAAAACAAACCTCCAGTTAGAGAATATGTATGTAAAAGATCTCTAACACCCAACTAAGTGGTTTCACCTTCCCACATTCCATGTCATGCCTCACCAGTGGCAACACATCCTAAAAGTTACATAAAATTGGTGTTTGTCCTCAACTTAGGACAACAAGTCTCTTTTCTCTTTAGTATTGAAATTATCTGTGTATGAATATAAATCATTCACAAATATAACTAATGTGTTTCTTCTTCCAAGAAGTAGTTTCCTGAGTTATCCTTCCTTTAAAAAAATATTTTATTATTTTTAATGGGGGGGGGGGGTGAGTGCACATGTGTGCAGGCGAAGGAAAAGGCCAGAAGAAGAAGCTGGAGTTACAGATGGCCGTGGGCTACCATGTAGGTGCTGGAAAACAAAGTCCTGCCCTCTACAAGAACAGCAAGCACTCAAAACTGTAGAATTGTCTCTTCAGCCCCTTGAGTTATACTTCCTGTTGTTGTTATCTGTCTGGATCAGGGTGTCAGGTATCTGTGGATAGGCTCAAACTTGATAGGTATCAGAATCTGCCCTTGAACTGTTCTTGTTGGCTCTAATTCCCAGTGCTGGGATTACAAGTATGTACCACCATGTGCCACTACTTTCTGAAACCTCAAACAAGTGATATTTCCTTATTTATAGGTCTTAGTCTTTCCCCCCTCAATATGACATTTCAATCTGATTCTAAAAGCCTCATACTTGTTCAACTATTTATTTGAATAGACCCTTGAACTCCTGATCCCCTTGCTTCTTGTTATAAATGCTGGGATTATAGGCATGTACCACCATGACCATCTTTTCAATGAACATTTTCACCCAAAAGAGCTCAATAAGGGGGCTGGGGAAATGGCTCAGCAGGTAAAGTGTTTTGGCACAAACCTGAGGACTTGAGTTTGGATTCCCAGCATTCATGTAAAAAGCTAGGTGTGGTGGTATGTACCTGTAATCCCAGTGTCCTGAGGCAGAGATGGAACTGTAAGGACTCACTGGCCAGCCAGTCTAGCCAATCACCAGCTTCAGATTCTGTTACGGGAGGTCCTCCCACTCCTCCAGCCTATCGCCGCTGAGATACCAGCCCATTGGGGCGTGGTGTCTCTCCCTTTAAAAAAGCGGCCATTTCCCTCTCCTCACTCTCTTCACTTCCTGCTCCGCCGGAGACTAGACTCCCTTTCTGGTTGCGCAGAGGGCTGATGGTGATCTGTAAGTTTTTTCCCCTTTAAATAAATACCACCCTATTAATCATAATTCCAAACTGGTGTGGCATTGTTTATGACTTACGCCTTCAGTTGGCACCCAACGTTTGGTTTTAGAACCTCTCCTTTCCCCGCTCGGCTGCCGGCCGCGAGTTCGGCTTGGCAGGAGCCCTCCCTTCCTCAGTCGCCGCCTGTGCCTTGCAGCGGCGGCCTTGGCCTCCCCACAGGCCCGCTTAGTCTCTGCCGCATGGTTTGCTCTTTTCTGACTCGTTTTTAAATCTCCCTTGCAAGCACAGCTCTTAAGTGGCGCGAACCAGAGCACGCGGTTGCTGAAAGCTGCAACCCCTCAGGGTGACTCTGTCACGTGGAGGCATAAGCGGCTTCCAGATTGCTCTCCTCTACCCCTGGATTCTGGGTTTCTGGTTCCGTCTCTGGAATTGATTTAATTACATTTACTTTGTTGAGCAACTTACATTTTCCAGTTTTTAATAAATACTAGGCGGACTCTGAAACAGGACCCTGTTTTCGTCGCGACTTGGCAACAGCGCCACCTGCTGGATAATAGGTAATATGGCAGTTTTCGTTTCCAACGCGAATTTTACTGTTTTGGTTACCAATACAATGGGTTATATCATGCAAGGTTTATATGACTATGAGGATAACTTAATTTACTGGTTACTAGGTTTCAGTATTCTTTTGCATATTCTATCATTTAGGAAGATCATGGCACTCCTAAGAACCATACAATCTTTACTAGAAACTCATGCAGGTCAGGAGATTCAGGATTCAAAAGAGACAATAATAAAGACAATAATAAAAAGACTTGAAATGATTGAAGAAATGACTGGAGCTGGTGAACAGAGTAATAAGGCACAACGACAGGATACAATGCCAACACCAGCTATTAGAACTGGCTTACCCAAGGTTTTAGCGGCATACCCTATACTTAATTCTGACAAAGAGTCAACTTCTAAAGGCTCAAAGGGAGTCAGAGAAGCTAGATGGACGCCAATAGCAATGAATGATCTAAAAGAAATTAAGCAAGCTATTGTTAATTTTGGCTTGCACTCTGCATATGTAAAGGAAATGATAAGGACTTGGGCTTCTAATGCTAGAGCTACCCCCTATGATTTCCATCAGTTAGTGTCTGCAGTTTTAGATAATGGACCTCCCTTGATGTTTGGAATTTATTTCAGAGAAGAATCCAAACATATGGAACAGCAAGGAAGAGCAAAAGGTGTCGAGGTTTCCCAAGATCAAATTCTTGGTGCAGGAGAATATGCTGATCCACAGGTCCAAGCTCTTTATGATGATGAAGTACTGTGTCTATGTCACCAAGCAGCTTTAAATGCTTGGAATAGGATACAAGATCCAGCAAAAAGGGTTGAATCATATACCAGAATGAGGCAGGGACAGAGAGAACCCTTTATTGACTTTTTGCAAAGATTAATTAAGGCTCTGGACATAGGGGTAACAGACCCAGAAGCTAGATGAATACTTCTTGAATCTCTAGCTTTTGAGAATGCAAACATAGAATGCAAAAAGATAATTGGGCCTTTAAAGTCTAGATCAGCACCTATGGATGAATGGATTCAGCATACGATGAATGTTGAGACATTTAGCTATAACGATGAATCTTGGGTAGGAGAAGTGATTTCCACAGCAATGAGGAGACATCAAACTGCCAGGTGTTTTAATCGTGGTAAATTAGGACATCTGAAAAGGGATGGCAGGCACAGAATTTCTAGGAATATTATCTCCTCTGGGAATGACAAAAATAGGAGACCTAGGCCTTCAGGTATATGTAGGAGATGCAGTAAAGGCTGGCATTGGTCCAACGAATGTAGGTCAACAACAGACAGACAGGGCAATCCGCTATCATCGGGAAACTCCTTGGGGGGCCTCTCGCAGGCCCCCAAGCCAACAGTGGCCCAGTCATTCCCAGTCACAGTGGAGAACGTGCCTCACCAAGAAAATTAAAAGCTCCAATTTCTGCTGTAAAAAGTAATACTGGTCTAAATGATGAATTACATGTGGAGGATGAGTCCAAAAACCCAGTAGGACAGATCAA